TTGCCTCTTTCTTTCCCTTAATCTTGTTGTTATGGTGGATAGGAACGGGATTCTCTGAAGATAAGCTTGAAGAATGTTCTTCTAGTCTTCGTTCTAAAGTGATTCCCAAACCAAAGGTCCCCCTGCCCCTTGTTTCACTCTTAACCTTTCCCGAGTCCTGCTTAATATTTTATATACTAATTTAAATATGTTCTTTGATTTCAGACATACTATCGATATGCAGAAAAAATCAATCCTGATGTCTGGTTTGAAGCCACTGAGGTTAGAATTATGTTGACTTTTCCTGGGAATTTCATTATTTTCTTTTCCAATTCTGTTCGTTAAGGTACTATCATTAATAAATAATGAGTTATGGTATACCACCTCTTACTGATATTACCGTGCCTTCGTTTTGAATTTCCTATTACTTCAATGAATGATATGAGAATTTTCATACTGTTGGGAATATTTGGATGGTCTGATGCCACTCGTTCATGGCTGAATGGTCTCCCAATATGATTGAGAGTGGTCATGTTTTTTTTTTTTTACACGTTGCCTTCTAGTTTAATGGGGTATTGGGTGTGTCCTTGGGCATGTATTACTAATTACAGTGTGGAAGATAATGGGTGCAGCTAGGAAACATCGTGATCATTTTGTATAATTCCCGGGACAGTGTAGTAAGCTGATAGGAACCAAAATAGAACTGATTGGGACCAAAATGTAATGGTAAAACTCAATTAATATTGATACTGAATTAGAATGAGATCAGAGGTATAGACCTCTGTTTCGATATGAACCACAGAAAAAACAAGCAAATGATAGTGATTATAGAACCCTTTTCTGAGGAAGAACCACCTTCACTCAGCCTCACTAAATATTCTTTCTAACCAATTCCTTAATGGTACGGGCTAGGGTGGGAGACTTGAACTTGTCAACCACCGTGGGACATTATTTTTGCACCATTAGATCTTATTGTTTTCAAATTTACGGTTCAGATTTTTCTAGTTTTTTCTTTTTCTTTTTTCCCTCCCTATTTGCTGGTTGCTTCCTCCACGTCTGCGTGTCATGGACTGTGGGAAAAAGGTAAAGAGTCCATGCTAGTGCTTTCGGTTTGGCTTCAGAGTGTAAGCTACGGAGGCACGGATGAATCTGGCGGCATGGCTGCTTTTATGACGGGGTCCAACGTCGACGGGTAGAGGATGGCGAGATGGAAACAATGGTGGTTGGCGGTGACTTTCTGCTTACGGTGGTAGACATCTTCAAGATAGTTGTTGGCGTCAATGCGGAGGGGTATGTCATGCTGGTGAAACTCGTGGGAAAACGTGGAGGGAAAGGGTAAAGTTTGAAACAAGAATGAAGGAAAAAAAATATAAATCTATCAACGGTCGATTTAAAAACAAAAGGATCCAATGGTACAAAAATAGAATTTTTTCCTCTCTCCATTCGTCACTTGCCACCTGTCCAGTCTATTATGGACTCCTTTCTAAAAACCTTTCTCCCACGCTTCCAACACTACTCTTCCTTATTTGCTCTCCTATATGCAGGCCCAATATACCCAAAAATGGGTGACCCATCATAAGCTTATGATACAAAGTTCTTAACCATTTTCCCCCATCATATTATGGCAATTCAATTTTTGAATAATAGGTGAAAGATCTAGAGTTAACATGATATTTTGCCAATTTCTTTTTTTAATATGAACGTGTTTGGATAAACTTTCTGAAAAAAAAAAAACTTTAGGATAAAAAAATAATGAAAAATATACCATATTTTTTTATAAACTAAAATTAATTTATGTATAAGTTAATAGTAAGTTTTTGGAAAAATTTAATATAAAAGAATTTATATAAATTTGTGTATAAGTAAATTTTAGTTTATAGGGAGGTTAATTAATTTTCTTATAAATGTTTTTGTAGAAAATTATCTAATGCAACCTAATACATATTTGTCGAATAAAATTGCACGAAAACTGATGTATCCTCCTCCGAAAATTTATCCGAAGTATATTAAAAAATGATATGTGTCAATAATTTAAATATAATAAAAATTTTATCCTGTATTGGGGGGATATTTCCATTGTATTTTTTGGAGGATGTAGAATTACTCAAATTGCACCATGCTCATTGATTGTATCAATTTTTTTACGAAAGTTATGTTACCTTGTTTCATACAGGTGTGGGAGGTGAAAGCTGCAGACCTGACCATTAGCCCTGTTTACCGTGCTGCAGTGGGCATAGTAGATTCGGACAAGGTAATTGGATGGGAAATGTCAGAAGTTTTGTCTTTATTTTCACTCTATTTTGCCTCTTAACATTGTTTTATCGCTAATAATAATAAGGCTAAAATCTTATTTTAGTTCTTTATAATTTTTTTTTTTTAATTTAGTCTCTAATTGTTTTATATCATTCTATAAAAATCTTTTATAAATATAGTTTATGTTTATTAATGATATTGGGGTAGAGGGTGTCACAATCCCTCATTAATTTTTTGTCTTAATTTGGTCCCAAACTAATTAATTGGTTTCAATTTAGTCCTAAATTAATTAATTGGTTTCAACGTGGGACTTTCCGTCTAAATTGGTTTAACGGTGTTAATTTTTGGCCACGTGGACGCCACGTAGATGCATACGTGGCATATGAGAATTTTTTTGAAAACACCTGGACCCAGAACGGCCCGTTCTGAAACCGGAACGGACCGTTCTGGGTGCACTTTTGGTGTGTTAATTTTGCATCCGGAACGCCCCGTTCCAAGTGCAAAATTAACACACCCAAAATGTACTAGAACGGCCCGTTCCAGTTTCAGAACGAACCGTTCCGGTTTTATTTTATTTTTTTATATATAAAATATTAATAATTTTATAAAATATATATTATTAATTATATTTTAATTATGTTATTATATCCAATAAAATAAATATATTAATATTTTTTATATATTTTATTTTATTATGTTTATCTTATTAATTTTTATCATTTTATTCCTTTAATCTTAAATAAGTTGCAAAAAATTATAAAGTGATATTCCTTTTATCTTATTAATTATTATATTTTTTAATAAAATTAATTAAGAATATTGGTTTAATTGCATTTTTTATCCCTCAAGTATTACAATTGTGCAGTTTTGTGATCTCCAAGATTTTAATTGCATAATTTTAGTCCTTAAAGAATTGCAATTGCGCGATTTTGGTCCTTCAATTTTTAATTGAACAATTTTAGTCCCTCAAATATCATAATAGTATGATTTTTGTTTCTCCCATTAAAAATTAATAATTTTAATATATATATATATATATATATATAATGTTTTAAAATTAAATAATTATTTATCTATTCAAATTAACGTATATTATAATTTTCGATATTATATCAATAATATTATTAATATATTTATAGATAAACTAATAATTTGATAAATATAACTTGTTATATATTAATATACTTTTACAAAAATATAAGTATATTAATTAGAAATATATATCTGATCTTATATATTTATATTTTTGTAAAAGTATATTAATATATATTAAGTTATATTTATCAAATTATTAGTTTATTTATAAAAAGGGTAAAAATATTATTGATATTAATTTATCAGTAATATTAAAATACTAATAATATATAAATTTTATTTATTTAGTAATAGTAAATATATATCATTTGATACATTAAAAAAAAAATATACGTTAATTTAAATAAACAAACAATTATATAGTTTTAAAACTATATATATATATATATATTAAAATTTTAAAATTATTAAATTTTTAATGAGAAAGACTAAAATTCCACAATTATGATATTTGAGAGATTAAAATTGTTCAATTAAAAATTGTGAGACTAAAATTACACAATTATAATCTTTTAAGGACTGAAATTACTCAATTAAAACCTTAGAGATCAAAATTGCATAATTATAATATCAAAAACACAATTAAGTAAAGAATATTTTATTCAACAGCTCTGGAACGGGCCGTTCTGATTTTAGAACGGCCCGTTTTGAAAGCAGAACAACCTGATTTCAGAACGGCCCGTTCTGCTTCACTGGTGGTGTTTTAATTTTGCAACCAGAACGGCCCGTTCCGGTTTCAGAACGGGCCGTTCCGGGTCCAGGTGTATTAAAAAGAATTTTCTCATCCATGTGGATGCCACGTATGCATCTACGTGACATCCACGTGGCCAAAAGTTAACTCCGTTTAAATAATTTGGATGGAAGTCCCACATTGAAACTAATTAATTTGGGACTAAATTGAAATCAATTAATTAATTTGGGACTAATTTGAGACCAAAAATTAATGAAAGACTAAATTGAAACAAAAAAAATTATAAGGAACCAAAATAGGGTTTTAGCCTAATAATAATAATAGGATTGGGATTCTCTACGGTTTACTTTTGAAACTGCATAGATCTCATCCGTTGATTCTATTTTATTACACAATAAATTAGTGTTCGAGTTAAATTTAGGAAAAATTGTACTTGCCTCTTTCAAAGTTTATTTAAATAATACACATCTTTCAAATTTTTTAAAGTTACTTTCTTTAAAGTAACATCATTAATTAAAGTAAAAAAAAAAATATTCTGTCAATTATATAAATGACTATCTTTCGATTTTCAATTACATACAATATTCTGTTTTTCTTATAATTTTTTTTTGTTGCATTTCAATTTTGAATATTATAATTTCTGAATTCATTTGAAATTTTTCCTTGAAATTGATATATTTTTTAAATTATAACAAGTATGATATTTAAGATATAATTTATGTTAAAATTGAATAAGAGATAAAGTTTCATTTAATTATTGATACTTATGTTAATAATTTATTCTTTTATACAAATTATATTATCTTATATAACTATAAAAAGTTATGTGTGTGATATGGATAAATAAATTAAAAAATTAGTGTTCAATTAACAAAAGTATGTGTCATTTATAAGAGTTTAATTCAATCTCCCCTTAAATTTATTAACTATAAGGGAGAGATTTATAACTGCACACTCTGCAGTCATTTCAAATCCATAATAATAATAGCTGCATTTAACTTTTTTTGGTGGCACTTGTATCTTTCTTTAAAGGGCATATCTCTTCGATTTCCACGACTACTCCGAGTCCGGCCTGACAAAGCTCCTGAACAGGCTACGTCATCTGAGCAGGTAAAGTACAATCTTCATTGAAAAATGGCAGTGGGAAATCAAAGTTGAATTTTTTGGTTATAATTTACTCGCTTACTTTTCAGGTTGCTGAAATGTATAATGCTCAAAAACACAATCAAACGAACAAGCTAGATGACAGTGAAAATGATGATTGAGGGAAAAAAATTCCTCGTTTCTTTCACGCTGTACTATAAAATTTCATAATTTCATGCCGATGATCCCAAGAGAATAGATGTGTAGGTGTGAATTCTTTGCCTTCAAGGCATAGGTCAGAGAGCATAACTTCTCATTCAACATGTCTGGAAATTTGATGTACAATGTAGAAGCTCATTGTGGGTCCAAAAAGTAGACATTTGCCCTTAAACCATGTTAATTGGATAGTTTTCCAGAAGGGGCCGTTGTACACTTATTCTTGTGTAGAATTCTGCGTTATTCTTTTAAATGATGCTGTAGTTAAGGCTGCTACTATTGACTAGGAATAGAGTTTAATATTTTGCACATGCTAATGGATCAACATTAGTTGCAGTCCACGTGTCAAATGATTTTGCAGGCACATGTATTATGGAGCATTATCTTTCGGCTTTAAAACTCTAGTGCAATGTTGCATTGAACTTTCTTTCTAACTATAGACGTCGCCGTTTCAAGTATCTAATTCTAATTCTAATACCATGAGCATGAATTGGAAGATAAGATTGAATATTATTTCCATGGTGGAGTCATGGGCGCCAATAAACTTGTTAGAGAAAAGGACTGGGTTCAATGATTGCCGTGAAGGAGATAGTTAAGTGAGATCTGCCTAATGTTTTGAACGGGTTATGAGTATGCTGGTCAAGCAAGTGTTCATCTTCGAGCCTCCACGTTCCGTGGAATAAGCCTACATAAACCCTTTTCACTCTGATCCCAGTTTGGGATTCCTCTATTTGCATACCCGAAGTGTTCTTTTTAAGGTTCTGCCATTGGCCCAGACTATTATTCTTTTCTTACTTTTCTTTGATATTTTTAGGTGGCTTCCTTTTAAGAGGTTCTGCCATTGGTTTAAACTTTGAATTTTCGTTCTTATTTGCAGACTAGAAATGACTTATCTTTGAATTTTCGTAGGTTTAATTATTCTGTTCTTTGAACATACAGACTACAGAAGAGGTTTACTTGTTGGGCCGACGAATGATTATGGGCCTGGGCTTTATTTGTTTAATTAAAGCTTTGTCTGTGATATTAAATTGTGTCCACTTAGTTGTTATAATCTGGTTTATTTGGCCTTATTATTGACCAAAGTTTTAATGTCTCTTGTCTTGTAAGGCATGAGTGGCGTCATTTGCGCAGCCTGTGTTCACCGTTGAGAAGAGGCTTGGCGTGTTTTCTAGGACTTCCTTGTTGCCGTCACTGGCAAGGATGCATTGATGTAATGTTTATATACACAGCTAGCTGGATGAAAGTAACGTTTCTATTTTAATTTTTTGGATTAAAAAAGCAATTTCCTATACCTGGTGCAAGAGAGGAATACAGGAACATGCCAGAAAATCTGAATAGAAACAGTACGCATTGGTGGGTAAAGTTCACATTTGGAAATTACGTGAAGCAGGCACTATTTTTGGGCAAAGTTATGTTGTCTCTGCATCTGCCTGTCTGCCTTCAAGAAGACTAACCATGTGGCTTTCCTTGAGCGACTGTTATAGAACATGGCTACACTTAGTATCAACTGTGATGCTGACAATACTTCTCTTGGAGCTTGGAAATTTCAAAATTGGTCCCAAAGGATTTTATAAAATAAAATAACAATCGCACTGGAATACGATGGATTAGAAGATAAGCTACTGGCTTTAACGATTGTAGACAACTTTTTTGTTTGTTTTTTGTAACATAATTTTTCGGGGTACAATATGATTCAACTTTATATTACCATAATTTGACATGTTTTATTTGTTTCCATGCTTTCATGGAACATAGAGATGTATTGGTCAAAATTATCTGCTCTTGTGGCTCATAATGGAATCGTAAACAGATTGATTGATAAAACTAAAAGAGGGTGTGGTTTAGTGAATTAGAAAAGAGACTCGAAGTGAATAATGATAAGTTGTCTAAAAAAGCTTAATATAATGATACATGACACCAGTAATAGATCCTGATTCTGATTTGTGGGTCCACCTAACCCGACCCTTGGTGGTTGGGCACACCCTCCCCCAACCCCAACGACTACACACCCATTCTCTTAATTGTTGATGTGATCTTATCCATCACACACACACAAATGCACTACACTACAGTATCCTAGTTACATTACAATTTCAGTGACCCTTTCACCTCACAGAAAACAAGAGGAGAATGTGAAAAGGGGAAAAATGACAAGGACAAATCCTGAAAGCCAAAAAGCAAGCCCTCCCAGCGAGTTAATAGAAAGCACTGTACATACGGTAGATGAGTCCTTTTGTTTAGAATGATAACAATAAGTTACTAAATAGGAGTCAGTGGAGTAGAATCCTTTGATACTTGGTCTGCGAGGGAGAATGAGGGGGCTGAGAGAAAAGCCTCTTCCTGCAGTTGGAATCTTGGGGTTGTGGGTGTGAAGGAATGGTGACAGGTGGAATCTGAAAGGACTCGAGAGGGGGCGGAGGGTGTCTCCATTGAGGAAGTGGTCCTGCAAGAAGCAGTGTCTGCAGGAGAGGACCTGCTTTCATGACTGCTTGCAAAAGCTTACCCTTTTCTGGCAACGGTTTGTCTGTTGATATCATGGGGCCCCCATGGAGCGGAGAGGAAACAATGCTCTCCTCGCAATCCGACGATGAGATTGAGAGGCCATCTCTTCTGGGCTCATCCTCAATGCTTGAAACCCCTGACCCTGGAGGAATAACCAGCCTCTGCCATTTCTCTTTTGCTTCGTCCCTTTCTCTCATCACTTTCCTCAGAACCTCCTTCAGCCTCACCAGCTCTTCGTCCCTCTTTCTCAGCTCCTCTTCCACACTCGCTCTCGTTTCTTCCAGCTCAACAGTTGCGTACATCAGGGACTGCTTCAGCTCCTCCATTGACTGTTTAATTACAACATTATCATCACATATTACTATCAACAATATCAATAGGAAACAAATATATTCAAGATTACCACACATACCTTTCCGTGGCAGTAGTAAGCCCAATTCATAAGAGGAGTGCGTTCCATGTAATTCATAATTTGATATGGCAAAAGAGAGAGAGAGAGAGAGTTTGGGGGATTTGGGGGATGCTGGAAGGTGTTTTATAGTTGAGACTTGAGAGAGAGAGTTACTGTGTTGGAAAAATAAGCCTAACACATCAACTCTGCCCAAATCCTACACCCCCTCCCCTATCTTATAATAATATCTCCTCACTTCAGAGACAATACTAATTAACTATACTTTTTTCTTCTAAATATTAATTACACTATTTTAATATTTCATATTACTGATAATTTTCCTTCAAATTATACTCCTTTTTTATTGGAACAATGATTAGTATCAGACAACAGTGAATCCTTCCTCCTAATTAATTACGGAGAAATAGTCAAGATAATACTATTTTTATCTCGCAACTTTCTTTCGTCAGTTTAACGGCACTTTTGCATAAAGAAATTAATGTCGGAGACGTGGAGTAAAACAGTCTCACTATACATAGGATCTAAAATTTATTCCATAAAAAATTAAATTCAATTTAACTATAAGTATGATTCTCTTGTTCCATTGTATATATGTTTATAATAGGTTGTATATGCTGGATTCAGCCAAAATGTTTAAATTAGCAAGCAAAAGCAGGACCAAACAACCAAATGCTTCTGCTGTTTTCTTTTTTTGTTATTATACTTATATAATACTTTTTTTTTTATATATTTTTGTTATTAAGAACTTTTTTTTAATAATATGTTATATATAACTTATTTTGTATCACTTTTTACTTCTCCTTATCTCTCTCATAACATTAATTATATATATAAAAAAAAAACTTTAGTACAAATTTGTTATAAGATTATAATTATTTCTCTTTTATGTTAATTAACTCCCCTCTCTTAGACAAGTCTTCTTCAGGTCTATTGATGGCTTTTCCATGCTATTGATCAAAAAAATCTTAGAAAGCCACCGTATAAAACAGTGATAGCCTTGCAACTATAAAGTAGCAATAATAACAAAAATGAAGAGCTGGACGTGACATGTCCATTGAAAAGGCCAATTATAATAACATGATCTTCCTTTGTTTTTGAAATACAAATTCCCCATCTAACTTGAAAATTAAGGAGTTGCTGCGAGCTGAGCCTAATGGAATAGGAGCTAAAAAAGACTTTTAGACATTAATCATATTCTATTTTTTGAAAAAAGACTTTTAGCATTACAATAATGAAGCATTTTTGAATGCTAAAACATTAAATCATTAATTGTTCGGGTTATCATACATCAATTTATAAAGTATTACTTCCTTTATATATATTTTTTTCTTCATCACATATGCATCCCAAAAATGGGCTGTACTGTGTACATTTAATTTATTCCTAACTGTACTTTAGTACACTGTAAAAATAAAACATAAAAGCTCTCAATCAATACGAGGTTAATTGGATTCACATGGAATGTTTGTTTTATTTATTTAAATATAGTTATTTCCAAAATTTTACACACTTGCTCCCCTAAAAAAGAAGAATGAACGTGTTGATATTACGACAGTAATTTGAATGCATGAGGGAGGTTAGGATCCTTAATTACTTATTAATTCCTTACCCCCTAGGGCAAGTAACTTAATAAAACTCTCTTTCTCTCTCTCTATACATGCATCACCATTTTTGGCTAAGCCAACTTACCCTTTTCATTTTCATTACACGTGGGCTGCGTAGTGCAGTAAATACAAACATATTTCTTTTGTTTTCTACTGCACCATTCCAATCAATTGTGCCTCACTTTGATTTTGCTTCTTCAATTCGCCCAAATTACAAGACAATAATATTCGCTAGTATTTGAAAAATGGTATGTTATACATGAAAGAACATTAATCACAAAAATATAGTCATTCATGGAATACAGAACATAAATAAATATTGATTTAAATATAATGTGATTATTCATTAAATATATATCAGTTAAATAGTTATCGTTTTGTCGAGGGTGTTTTCTCCATTATATAATCTACTAATCTCAATTATCCATTTAGCTCTTCAATATCTCGGAATTAGCCACCTAGGCACACTTCATAATACGGCTAATCTCTACTATCTCAAGAGTTTTAAAATCAATGCAATTGGAAAAATAAATTATGTGATCTCAACTCCCCGATACCAAGGGATATAGTTTTTTATATTATGACCATAAAATCTATGACTTGCAACTACTTGTAAAAGTCTCTCCAATATAAGGTCGAAAACCTACAGCTTCTATGTAAGAACAGGGTACAAATTAGAAAAAGTTTTGTTGTATAATAATGTAGATATCATATCATGTGCCATAAGGATCCATAAGCCCCCCCTTTTTTTTAATGAAATAATTGTTTGTTTTGGTTGACAATTTCAACAGTTGAACGTGTGAAAGATGGCTTATATATATAAATTGAGAAATTGAAGTGGTTTTGTGTGAACATTACTAGCAGCAATGCGTGTGGAAAATAACTAATTTTAATTTAGAGTAAATTAATGTTTTCCTACAATCATAAAGTTCGATTTGCTAAGAATGAAAACATAGGGAAATAGTTTTAGTGTTGAGTGATTGGTTCAAATGATGTGTATGTTTGATTCGTTTTATGTAGGATTTCATTGAGTATTAATTGTGCATGAGGAAAAAATACTAATTGGAAAAAAAAATAGTGTAAATGTTTGGACTAAAATAATTAAATTTATTTATCTCCCTTGAAAGCTATTTTTATCTAAAATGAAATGATTTCCAGTTGAAAAACCAACTTGGTGGTCGTCTCTCCATATTTCTTTCATAGGAATGACTTTGATTTTTCCATACGTTCATGCTGGATACAAACTAGAAACCCACTTAAATCAAATTTGATTCTTTATTTATCAAATTTTCACACGACGCTTAATTAA